AAAATAAGCTAGAGAAGAACAAAGCAATGTGAGAATGAGTATTATAAAAATAAGAACAAACCAAATGTCCATCAATTGGTGGATGTGTAAACAAATTATTATATATCTACACAATGGAATACCGCTCAGTAATTAAAAAGGAATAAACTATCGAAACTCCCAACAACAAAGATGATTCTCAAAATAATTATGATGGCCAGGCATGGTATGGCTCATGCCTGTAATACCAGCACTTTGGGAGGCTGAGATAGAAGGATCGCTTGAGACCAGGAGTTCAAGAGCAGCCTGTATAACACAGCAAGATCCTCTCTAACACAAAATAAAAATTTAAAAAAAAAAAAATGATGATGATGGTGATGATGAAAGAAGCCAGACTAACCCCTACCCCCTAAAAAGCACATACTCCAAGACTGCAGTTAGATAAAAACCTAGGAAATGCGGTCGGGCATGTTGGCTCACTCCTGTAATCCCAGCACTTTGGGAGGCCAAGGTAGGCAGATCATTTGAGGTCAGGAGTTCAAGACCAGCCTGACCAACATATCATTTGAGGTCAGGAAGTTCAAGACCAGCCTGACCAACATGGTGAAACCCCATCTCTACTAAAAATACAAAGAAAAATTAGCCGGGCGTGGTGGAGGGTGCCTGTAATCCCAGCTACTTGGGAGGCTAAGCAGAGAATAGCTTGAACTCAGGAGGCGGAGGTTGCAGTGAGCCAAGATCGCACTAATATGCCCAGCCTGGTGAGCAGGAGGAGACTTCCCCGTCTCAAAAAAAAAAAAAAAAAAAAAAAAAAAAAAAAAAAAAAAAAAAAAAACCCCTAGGAAATGCAATGCAAACTTATCTACAGTGATAGATCAGAGGTTTCCTGGAAGAGGAGTGGCTGGAGGGATGACAAAGGGGCAAGAGGAAACTCTTCGGGGTGATGGATACCTTCCTTATCTTGTTGAGGTGATGGTTTCACTGGCATAAACATATCAAATTGTACACTTCAATATGTGCATTAACTGTATAACAATTATACCTCAATAAAGCTGTTTAAAAAATACAGAAAAAAAAAAATCCTCTTCCTGGCCTGGTATATTGTGTTTAGATCACCCTCTTTTCCAAACAAGCTCATATCCTGAAAAGTCACAGAACTGTAATACCTTTCCCCTGGTGATTTGCACACATAAACAAAACCTTAAAACCCAAAAATTTAATTATAATAAAATTTAACAATAGTTAATATTTACATGGCTGTGACTATGTGCTAGACACTATTACAAGCATTTTTCTTATATTAATTTATCTAACGCTCACATCAACCCTATTTTACAGATGAGAAAACTGAGGTAATGAAGGGATAAGTTATCTGATCAAGGTCACAAAGCTGATAAGCAGAGGAGCTAGAATTTGAACCCAGGGAGTCTAGCCCTAGAGTTAATTTCCTAACCCATCACACTCTACTGCCACACACAATATAAGGGATGTTAACACTAGAAGCAACAAATATTGCACTTGTAAAATACTTCTCTTTCTCACACTCACAGAATATAAATATTCACTACAATTGGCAACACCACATGAAACTAAATAAAAAACAACAGTGGCCTTATTTTCTTTTCCCAATTAATAGATGGAGGGAGAAGCAGAAAGGCTGGACAACTTTCTTAGGACACAAAGCAAATAATTGGCAAGTTGACCAGTTACTGGGAAGCTGGTTCCTTACATTCTTAATCCAATTCTTTTCATGGTTTTCAAAATCCCGATTATTTTAAGTAACATCATAAGGGAGAGAAAATCGAACATAACAACAAAAAACGTAAAAGTTGTTTCTGTTTTCTGATACTCCTTACTGACTCCTTAATTTCATCCAGGGGGTCTCAATCTCTACAGATACAGGTCTGGAGTCTGTTTTTAAAGCTCCCAGGTGAATGTTATGTGCAGCCAAGGTCGAGAACTCTTGATTTAGATTTCTCATTACAGAAAGACCGAGGGCGGCTGGGTGCGGTCGCTAATACCCGCTATCCTGCACTTTGACAGGAGGAGGCAGAAGGATGGCTTGAGCCCAGGAGTTGGAGGTTACAGTGAGCTATGATCCCGCCACTGCACTGCAGCCTGGGCAACAGGGTTATACCCTGTCTCAAAAAATAAAAACATATATAAAATAAAACAAAATGGGAAGACAGAAGAAAGCAAGGTGCCACAAAAAGCTTTGGTAAACCAAGGCCCACTGTTTTCCAAGTCAGCATTGAACTGCTGTCCACATGCAAACTTTTGAGTTCAACTTTTAATAAATTAAAAGCACATATGCATACAAGATATGAGAAAGCAAGAAGCACAGTAAACAACTTCTTTTAAAAAACGCAAGCCAGTGGTAAATTGGATGTTAACACTTACAGAGAAAACCCTACATTTCGGATGTTATGTCATAACAGAAGTTACATAAAAGTATATTGGGATGACAGAATCTCTTTTCAACTTTTTGGAATGCTAAATTGATGCCCAAACATCAAGTCAATGAACTAAAGGCACAGAAAAACCTGTCAAATATCCACTGCATTTAGAACATGGAATAAATTGATAATACACTGTGAATCTAGTTAAGAAGCACGGGTTGAAGAAAGAATGGGCCAGGCCGGGCGCGGTATCTCACGCCTGTAATCCCAGGACTTTGGAGGTCGAGGCGAGTGGATCACCTGAGGTCAGCAGTTCGACACCAGGCAGGCCAACATAGCGAAACTTCGTCTCTACTAAAAATACAAAAATTAGCCGGGGGTGATGGCGGCGCGCGCCTGTATTCCCAGCTACTGGGGACGCTGAGGCAGGAGAATTGCTCGAACCTGGCCGGGGGAGGGGGTTAGATGGCAGTGAGCCAAGATCGCGCCACTGCACTCCAACCCGGGCAACAGAACGAGATTCCATCTAAGGGAAACAAACAAACAAAAAAAAGAAAACAGAAAGAAAAGAAAGAAAGAAAAGGAAAGAAAAGGAAGGAAGGAAGGAAGGAAGGAAGGAAGGAAGGAAGGAAGGAAGGAAGGAAGGAAGGAAGGAAGGAGGGAGGGAGGGAGGGAGGGAGGGAGGGAGGGAAGGAGGGAGAGAGAGAAAGAAAGAAAAGAAAGGGCTGTATCTTTAGCCCATGCCCTGAATCAATGTTCCTTGAACTTTAAGGTGCCCTTCTTGAGGAAGATTCTGATTCAGCAGCTCTGGAGTGAGGAATGAAGTGTAATTCTAACAAGCTCCCAGAGGATGCTGATGCTGCCGGTAGGTGGACCAAACTTTAAACAACAAGGCCCTAAGTAACTGGAATATTGGTTGTAAAACTAGCCAACTGACTTACAAATATCGTTATGTCTAGGATCCAAGAAGTAAGTGTCAATACCATTAATTCCTACTCCCGGCCAAAAAAAATTAAAAACTAAAACTAAAACACAGGGTTCAGGGGAAGGAGAAAGCAAATACTTGTCTAGCAGTGCTAAGAACCATAAAATACTGTTATTTGTCTCAACCTAGTACATGTCAAGGTGATCAAGTGTAGGCTCCATGAGTTAATGGATTTTTTTAGTTAACTGCGGAATCCTTATGGCCTAGCACAAATTAGGTACTCAAGAAATGCACTGAATAAATGAATGAATGGGAAGTATATACAAACGCAATCTGTATTTACGTCACATCCCCAAAAATGTCTGGGAAGGGGGAGGTATTTGTACTTTTGGATGCAGGTAGCCATGATTTGATACAAATACCTGCCCATCTACTGCATTCCCTTTCGCCGAAGATAAAGTTAACTTTACTGAATAGTATTTCCACCTTAAAGCCCATGCTCATGGCACCCTGATGTTTAGCAACTTTTTGGCTTTTTGAAAACAATGAAGAAAGGTGGAAGTAGAGAGAGAAGGATTCGGAAAAGTCTCAAAAACTCAAAGCAAAAAACCAGAAGGGAGGAGATGGGCAAACAGTTCAGTTCACTTGAAGGAACAGCTGAGGTTGTCAGAGGTCCATGTGCTTACCTATGATGGTGGCGGGGTTTGGGCTCGGGCTTTTATATGTTTTGTTACTGTCCAGGGTCACTGGTGGAGTAGTACCTGGCTGTGGGAAGTCGGACTATACAGGTAGCCGGCGCTGCAGCCAACCTTCAGAAGCTTAGAGGAAGCACTTTCGCGCCTACTTCCTACTTCCCAGGGTCTCCGCGCGCTTTTGAGAACTCAGCCGCCGCCCAAACACAAGATGATCGGGGCAGCTTCGCTGTTGGATTGAGGCCACCGCCAGGATTTAAGATGGCAGCGAAACACTTCGATGGCCCGCGGAATCTGCCCAAAAGAAAAATGGCCTCTGTTCAGAATATCGCGGCTTTCAAATTGGGCCCAAAACAAAAATGGCGCCGGACGCAGGCTATTTAAAGGCTAGGAACCCAATGACTATGATTAGCAAGTAACGAATCACCGTAACTCACAGTGCTAGCAGTTGAACTGATCGAGAGAAAAAAACCGCTTTTCTGTGGTATGTCTTCTTAACATTGGAAAATGACTAGTTCAAGAATGAAACGTATATTCGGTGCGAAAGATTATGGGAAAGGAAAAGTAGCTTTCACAGTGCCGGATAAACTTTAATGAAAATAGCCATGTTTGAACAGAACTTCGTCAATTTTTTTTTTTTTAATGTTAAAAGAGAATAAAAGGTTTGTCCTGGAACCCAGAAGCAGGATGGGGAAATAACGGATGAATTATCTAATCCATGAAGAGTACCGAGCTGTAAAAGTCCTCGCTTCCGGGTCAGCCCTCAAGAAGGACTGAGGGCGGATGCTTTAGTAGACTAGGCAACTAGCTCTCACGGCGCATGTCCATTCTCCAAACCCGATCCCGGAAGTTACTGGAGGGTAATTCCTGATTTTCGAGACAACCGCACAGAGAGGCGGGATACTGGCGCTGAGCCAAAAATCCAAGCGTGTTGTGATTGGTCATGTCAGGCCAGAGAGCAGAGGGCAGTGGACTACTTCTTTCATTCATTCAGTAAATCATTGTTAAGCGCTCACCAGAAGGCAGAAGCTGTACCATTTTGATATGTTATTTAAATTGTATGCGTTCTTTTAAAATTTCATTTTCAACAATTTGCTCGAATATACACTGAATAAACTTCGCTCCCCGTTTTTTCCGGTGACGGCCGCAGTTGACTGGAGCTTCATGGAAAACCCGGAGAAGCGGAGTGCGGGCGGCCCGGCGCCGACCGCAGAGCTGCGCGTGCTCCGTGCCCCCGCGCTACGCGAAGGTTGCCGGGATCCGCGGCAGTAGCGGCGGTTTGAGGTCTGTCTCTGGGGCCTGCTGGCGGCGGCCTGGGGCGGCGCGGCGGCTGGTGGGCAGGTGAGAGCGCTGGAACTTTAGGTGGAAAAGCCCGCTTTCTGACCGGCCGAAGAGAGGGGAAGGGGCTTGTAGGCGCCTCCCTCTCCACCCCCAAAGGTCGCCGGTGTCCTTACTGAAGGATATTTGAGGGCGGGGACAAGGAGGAGGCTGGCTCTCTGTAGGAGGCGAAAGACCGACCTCTGAAATAGCTGCCGATGGTAAATGTTGCGGTAGGCACGGATGCGGGCGGCGAGGAGGTCTTCTACACCGGACCTGTGACTTCCCGTCCCGTCTCTCGCTGGGAGGAGCCCCGTGTGCCCCCCCGTGACTGTCTGGAGGGTGCACGGTGTACCCCAGGCTGTCGGGAGGTGGGGGCGGCGTTCCGACGGCGTCAGAGCCGTTGTGCAGCATGGCCCTGCCAGCTGCGTGAAAGCAGCCGCGGGGCTTGCAGGGCTGTGGATCTTGTAGGGATGACCCTCTAAGGTCATGCTCATCTTCCTCCCAGATGATACTCGAATCCTGTTTCAGAGACTCTCAATATCACGGTTTCATTCATTCATTAACATCGTCAATTTATCCATGAACAGATATACACGTGTCTACAGCACTGCCGAGTTAGTAGATACAGCAGTGACCAAGGTGGACGTGCAGGGTCCTGACTCCTTGTTCTAGTTATGGGGGATAAACAATACGCTTCCTATCCATGAGTTCCGCCATCTGTGAATTCCACGAACTGCGGATAGAAAATACTCTGGGTCGGCGGGGTTTGGTGACTCACGCCTGTAATCCCAGCACTTTAGGAGCCCGAGGCGGGCGGATCACTGGAGTCAGGAGTTTGAGGCCAGCCAGGCCAACGTGGGCGAAACCCGGTCTCTACTAAAAGTACAGAAAAATGAACCGGGCGCAGAGGAGCGTGCCTGTAATCCCAGCTACTTGGGAGGCTGAGGCAGGAGAATCGCTTGAGCCCTGGAGGCGGAGATTGCAGTGAGCCAAGATCGTGCCACTGCACTCCAGATTGGGCGACAGAGACCCTATTTTAAAAAATAAACAAAAATATTCTGGGGGAAAAAATGATGGTTACATCTGTACTGAACACGTGCAGACCTTTTTTCTTGTCATTCCCTAAACTGCAGTGTAACAACTACTTAAATAGCATTTAACATTGTATTAGGTATTATAAGTACTCTAGAGGTGATTCAAGGTACATGGAAGGATTTGATAAGTTGTATACAAATAGTACACTTTTTTTTTTTTTTTTTTTTTTTCATAGAAAAACGTTTTTTTCCTTTTGCCCGGGCGGGGGGGCGGTGGCTCAATTTCGGCTCCCCCTGCAACCTTCCCCCCCCCCCCTCCCCCCCCAGTTCAAGCAATTCCCCCTCCCTCAGCCTCCCCAGTAGTTTGGGATTACAGGCACCCGCCACTGCACCTGGCTAATTTTTGTATTTTTTAGCAGAGATGGAGTTTTGCCATGTTGGCCAGACTCGTCTTGAACTCCTGACCCCAGGTGACCCACCTGCCTCGGCCTCCCAAAGTGCTAGGATTATAGGCGTGACCCACGGCAACTGGCCTAATAAACAATTTTTAAATCAGGGACCTAAGCATCTGGATTTGGGTATCCATCATGGGTCCTGGATGCAGTCCCCCAGATGCTGAGAGGTGATTGTACATTGATATTGAACAAGATGTTTCTAGATTGTCCTAGGTTGGGTTTCCTGAGAATCAGACTCTGAGGAGATTTGGAGGCAGAACATTTACTAGATAAGACTTTTTGGATGATTACCAAGGAGGAAAGGAAGCAGGATTGGGCAGATAGAAAAAGTTAGGCTGCAGTGAAGTCTCAAGGATGTTCTCCACCGATCCCACAGGAACTCTAGTGCTGAGCTGGCCCTTCACAGTTAAAGGGAAGGGCCAGGCCTTTATACCCCTTGACTGATCTGTCCTTGGATGTCTGTTGCCCTGGAAAGGGCCTAACTTCAACTCTCTTCAGCCAAGTCAATCATGGACGGAGGCTGGCCCTTGAGGTCTGTCTCAGCACTTCCAGGATCTGGGGAAATAAGCCTTTCATTCCTTAGAGGGGTCAGGGTGGCACATCACAGCATTCACCACAAAGGTAGGGCTTTGAAGGAAACACATGTGCTAGAGAATAATGGGGAGGGAGAGGGAAAACACTTAGGTTGAGTGCTCAGAGAAAGGCTCTCTGAGTAGGTGACATCTGAACTAAGCTGAAGAAGAATAAGCCATCCTCTGTGGAACAAAGGGAACAAGATTCTCTACTTTTCTGCTATGCACTAGGAATATAGCAGAGAAGACAAGTGGCTGCTACCTTCTGTTATAGTGGGTGGCAGTGACTAGTTTTTCTAGATCTTGACTCCCTGCAGTAACTAAAGATGGAGTAAGTAAAAATGGATTGAGACTAATTCAGAGGAGGATAGAGGAAAAAATGAGAACTACAATTTTGAAAAATGAGTCAACTTGGTAAAGACTTGATCTATACAGTTTTTTGGGGGAGTTTGGTTTGGTTTTTTGATCCTATACAGCATTGAACTATGTTTTATTAAGATTGTCCCATTTTCTTCTCAAACCTGTGTTCTCCTTGAGGACAAGAATCATGCCTTACTCTTCTCAGTAGCTCCCCCTTGAGCCTAATAGTCTTGCTAGCATAATAGACACTAAGTGAGCATTTGGATAGAATTAATCTCATACATATTTGAAGTGAAAATTGCTAATCCCTAAATGATGTGAACGTGGGATACATGACTGTGTTTGGATTTGTCTTTACAATATTTCCTCGCCTTATAAGTTAGAACCCAATTTTAGTCAAAATATTCGATGATAATATGTAATTGCTTCAATCAAGCAGGAACCTCCAGGGGTGCCTATTTTTATATATGACTTGCATAAGATAATATACTCCCGATAAAAGTAATGGCTGCCGTATACTGAGCACTTCCCACATGCTAGGCACTGCACTAAGCTATGAATGTATATCGTTGTCTTCATAATGTGGCCCCCTGTTTCAGATCATGATATTGAGGCAGGAGAGAAGTAATTTGTCCAAGACCATAACTAATTGGTGATGGGAGTTAGAATTTGATTCTCACTATTACTCAATGCTTTTGCTGTTAAGTGACCAACAACATGTCTGAAAACATAGACCAAGTTTCAGTCATCATAAGATTCTCACATTTGATCACTTAGCTGCCCTATTAACTGTTATTAGAGAAATAAACCTGAAATTATTCACCCTGTCTTTGCTGCTTTGCTCTGTATCAGTTTTCTGACTTTCTTCACAGCTTTCCTGGCTCTGACTTTAGAAGCTTGACTATTATCTGTCCTGTAATATGCTAGAATCTGATTACCAGATTCACTCTACCCTAGTCAAACCCCAAAGACCTCAGAACCTCTCTCTAGACTCTGGGTATTTTTATTCATAACTAATGAACTGAAACTGCCCAAAGAAGCAGGCCCTGCTTTATGGGGACCGCTTCCCTTAGTTTGGGCATTAATTCTAATCCTCTCCTGTTCTTGCTATACTACAGGTTAATTCCAGTAATGTTTTTTTCTTTTTGACATAATCAAAATAATAATAATATCTAACAATTACTGAGCCCAGACTAAGTGCCAAGTATTGTGATAACTGCACAGCAAGCTTGTGATATGGACGATTTTATTCACATTGTACACATGATGGAACTGAAGCATAGTGAGATTAAGTGACTCATCCAAGGCCACACAGCCAGTTGTAAAGTGGTAAGTAAAGATTCAAAGCCAGGAAAGCCAGGTAGTATGAGTCCACAGCTCATCCCTTAGTCACTACATGACAGTGCATTCTTAACAAAAATGATTTAAAGTGCTTGACTTTCTGAAAACTGGTAGGCAGAATCTAGATCCTAGTGGATTTTTCTTTCTGCTGTACTAAGAAATTTAGATTTCACTCTAGTCAAAAATATCACTAAAGGCTTCTAAGCAAAGCAAGAATACAACCAGATTTGGTTTTTTTGTTTTTTGGGTTTTTTTTTTTTGCAAGATGGCTATATTAAAAGTGTAGAGAATGGATTAGTGGAGGTAGATTGGAACAGTGGATCTCAAACTTTAGCTTCAGAATTACCTAAAGAATTAATTAAAACACAGATTACTGGACCCCACCCTAGAGTTTCTGACTCAGTAGGTCAGGGGCAGCTTGGTAATTTGCATTTCTAATAAATTCCCAGGTGATGCAAATGGCACTGTTGAGAGGACCACACTTTGAGAACCACTGGAATCCAAGCAAGGAGGGCATGTGAGAGGGCACAAGGGTCTGGACTGTGACCCTAGGGAGGAGAGATTATGTAAAGAAACACTCATATCAAATGGCAGGATGTGCTGAGTGAGTTGAGGAGGAGCATGAGGAAAAGGGCAGAGTCCACTATATCGAGATTTCTGAATTGAATGGCTTAGTAGATAATGCTTTTTGTTAACGAAACAGGAAATCCAGGTGGAACAGCGGTTTGGGAGGGAAGGAGGACTTGTTTTTATATGAGATGAATTGAGACTATTTGTGGGGACGGTTAGTTCAAAGGTGAACAGTAGCAGTTTATTATATGGGTCCAAGCTGGAGATGAACGTGTGAGAGCCAGAGTGGATGCATGATCATAGAAGTTTGGGGATTGAATGAGACCGCCCAGGAAACAAAGACTACCAAAGATAGATCTTTGATAAGGATGAATAGGTGGATGGAAACCAGCAGGCTATTAAAGGAGACTAAGAAGGAGCAGTATAGAGTCCTGAGTACTTAGAAGTCTCAACAACACATCAAAAGGCTACAGAGAGATTATGTAAGGGGAAGGATTGGTGATCTTTATGGTCAGAACACTTTCCGTGGAGAATGAAACAAAAGCAGATTGCTTGGGTTTGAAGATGGAATGGGAAGTGACTCTAGGAAAAGATGCATTATTTGAAAGGAAAGAGATTGTGTAGTACCGGGAAGGAAAACTGGTAAAGGGCAGTTGCCTTAGGGAATTTGTTTTTGACTCTTTTCAGTG